GGTGACCAGGTCATAGAATTCCATGAAACCTACCATCTGTTATTGCAAAGACATACATGAGCCATCCAATCAGATGACTTACACACATGGACATCACATATATTCAACACAGACATCAAACAGGACTACATAATTGGAAGAAGAAGGTGGAGAATCTGTCTTCTCTCTGCCAAAACAAGACCAAGAGCAAACTGCTATAGTGACCACAAGCTACTAATATCCAAAATAAGACTAAAACTGTAAAAGATCACTAGCTGAAGCATAGTGCAAAAATGCAACTAAAATAACATTCCTGAGGAATTTAAAGCCCATATGAACAGATTTGCATTACTGAACTCAATTAACTATGAACCAGAAAAATGGTGGCTTGAAACCAGAGACATTACTAGGGAAGAATGGAAAGAGAGAGATCCTGCAGTACAGGGAGGGTGGATAGAGGATGGAAGGAATGTTCACAATTGCTAAGAACAGGTGCAAAGAAAAGAAAAGGGTGACAGAACTAGGGTCAGAATCTTAAATGTGACTTTTAATGACCATCATGTAGAGGCAAAAAGGGCTATTCCAATGGCCTGTGCAAAGAAATGGAAGAAAATAACAGAAGAGGAAAAACAAGACCTCTTCCAGAAGAACCAAGAAACCAAAAGGGAAATACAAACCTAGATTAGGAATGCTGAAAAATCAACAGCGGAACATACATACTTTTGGACTGGGATAAAATAAAGAAAAGGTGGGAACAATATATGGAAGAAATATTCAGAAGAGAAAAAAGGATGACATACTCCTTTGAAGAGGAACCCTGTTTTGAAAACACATGAAAGGAATAAAACACCCAGAGTAGATAGGATACCAATAGACCTATATAAAATAAGAAATGCTAGAAATTCAAGGTGGATTCCAACAAGGAAGAGGCACTCAAGATCAGGTTGCAAATATACATTGCCTACTGTTGTGCACCAAAGAATTTCAGAAGGTCAATCCATGTTTTACAGACTACAGCAAAGCCTTTGACTATAGGTCAAACAGGTCTGCCTCAGTACTTGATTGTCTGGATGTGCAACCCGCATTGTGCATAAGAAGCTACCATTAGGAAAGAATATGGAGAAACAGAATGGTTTCCTATAGCCAAAGACATCAAACAAGGGTGTATTTTATTTCCCTAGCTGTTTACTGAACATTAAGAAAATTATGACTACAGAAGGCCCAGACAACTTTAATGTCAACAATGAAGTAATTGAAACCGTAGAAGACTTTGCATACCTTGGCTTAATCATCAATTCAAATGGAGGCTGCAGCCAGGAAATTAGCCTTGGAAAAGCAGCAATGAAGGAAGGTCAAGATCATTCATGCTATCATATTTCTGATCACTATGTATGGGTGGCAAAATTGGACCACATAAAAAATTGATACATTCAAAACATGGTGCTAGAGGAGAGCTTTCTGAATACCCTGGACCAACAGAAAGACAAACACGTGGGTCCTAGATGAAATCAAGCCAGTTTTCCCTGGAAGCAAAAATGATGCAGTTAAAGCTGTTGTACTTTGCACGCATCATGAGAAGGCAAGACTCACTGGAGAGGTAATGCTAGAGTAAGTCAAAGCCAGAGGAAGAAAAGGAAGACCATTAATGAGATGGATCAATTCCATAAAGGGAGACAAAAGCTGAGCAGGGCTGTGAATAACAGGGCATTTTGGAGAGCATTCATTCCTAGAGTCATCACAAGTCAGAGATGATGTAATGCCACGTAACAACAATCAGTACACTAAGCCCTATACAATTCAAGCCCAAGATAGCTCAAGGAACAGCATCCCATACCACAGTATATATATACTGTGAACAGACAAATAAATAAAGAAACCCTGCTGGGATACATGCATCCTTGCAAAGCAGGTGAAGAAGGGGCCATCCTTCCATTCCCTCTTTTCCTCAGAAGAGCTGGTTCATCCTCTGTCAAAAGCCCAGGACTGTCTGTGCAACTAGATTTGATCTTGACAACTGTGTGTGCTTCCTACCTCATACTTGCAAAGTTAATAAACGGGGATATTGATAATGGCTTTTACAAGGGTAGATAAACAGGTGAAAAGGAAGTGGCTTGTAAGTCCTTTCATGACTGGCAGCCTTCTCCTGTGCATGCCTCATCGCTAACTTTCATTTTGGACTTTGGCTGGGCAAGGAGGACTTTAATATGATCTGTGAAGCATTTGCAGGAAAAATGGGCTGGGTTGGGAGTTTCATGCCCCATTCTTAGCATCTAATTTGGCCTTCAGGTACCAGCCCTGAACAAAAAACAAAACAGCTTTGGGACCTACGAGTATCACCTAAGCAGAGGCCTCCTGTGGGTTGCTGCTGGAAAGAAAAAGCTGATAGGCCTTGGTCTGATGTTATTGTTTTTCTTTTTTACAGAGAAAGTACTCATCAATACGGCCATTCAGATCAATGCGTTTGCAGGCCTTCCTTTCATAGAACTGTACCATAGTAGAGTTGGAAGGGGGCAATAAGGCCCTTGGGTGCAGTCCCCACTCAATGCAGGCTCCATACTGTGACCACATGTCTCTTCCTTCTTGGAGAGAAAACACAAGGTCATAATCTCAACTACTGAGATAGTTTTGTCTGGAAAATGAGCTACACATTCCATTTATTATTTGGAATATATCTTTAGAAACTCCAAGTTCACTCTACAGTTCAATTCGCTTTTTCTTTGTCATCATCCGAGAGAAGCAGTTTGTGGTTCAAGTCAAGGCCAATGCAGAACTACCAGTTCCAAAGCCTCCTTTCCTTTCTTCTCACATAGTATTCTGGGAAATGCTTCTCTTCAGTGGGTGGAGACACTTTGCCACCAACCTCAAACAATCCTCTTGAACCACTTTTAGTAACCAATTGCTTATTTGTGCATTATGGGTTGAGTTCCAGTTCACATCCAAGACAATACATACTTCGATATAAAATCTTGGTTGGACTCACATCTGAAAAGACATGAAATCCTAAGGAGACAGGATTGCATGGTAAGGCTAAAATCTTAAACACACTTATGAAGGACAACCTAAGCCACACTGGGTATAGCCATATTGGATTTCCTTCTGAGAAAACATGCACAGGATTTCACTGCATGTATTCATTCATTCAATTTGTAACTGATATTCTGAGGGCAGCACATACATAGAATGAAAAGCAAATCTAAGAGCAACCATAAACACCTTCTAAAATAAGGGACACTAAAATTCAAAAACAATATTGAAAAGAAAAAAAAATGTCCATGGAGGTAGAAGAGCATGAGATGCTGCATTCTCCCAGGTCCATTCCACTTCATTAAAAAAAGACACATCTCTCTGAACCAGTTTTTGAGTTTGAGCTCAGGTTGAGTCTCTGTCCATTTAGCTGGCCTAGTGCGGAATCGATACTGGCACTCCACCAGGACCCACAACAAGACCTCCCAGGGCGCTTAATCAGGACTTCCTCCCTTGAGTCTTAGAGCTGCTGCTGCTCCTGAGTAGCGGAAAGCTGAGAGAGACACATTTCTGTTATAACTCCTTTTAACAACAACTCATTCAGCTTTCGGCAGGCAGCAGCAATGGAAAGCCTCTGGGAGGAAGTCCTGGTTACGCGTTCTAAGGGCCTTGTCAGAAATTTCCAGCAGCCAAACAAGCTGCAAGGATGGAATAAGATCCCCCTGGACCCCTTCGTCACCTCCTTCTAGAGATTTCCATAATGTTCTCACTCCCTCCTACAATTTTTAGATGCGATTCTTTTTCTGTCTTGCACTCCCCACCCCCCAAACATGATTGAAAATAAGTAGATCAAGCAATAGAGCGCAGTGCTAATAGAAAGCTTCCTGAATTTGGTAAAGTAGTTCATCAGAGGGACAGATTTACTTCATGAAGAGATCCCTCTTCTTTCATTGGGAGGGAGGGACGTTCCGAAATTGGAGCTTTCAGCTGCAGACTGAACTGCTTCAGTCCAGAATACAATCACCACCGTTCTATGTTCCACTGCAGTCCTTTTCATGCATTCACTGCTTGTGGGGAGCAGAGTGCACCCACGGTCTTCATTTATCTGGAAATGTGTGAGTCAGTGTCTGTTGGTAGGTTCTTTCTCTGTGATCCAGATAGACAGAGATGCCGCTCAGACCTTTGACAGAATCGGTGGCTTGTCGCCCTCCCAAAACACACGTGTGCATTCCGTGAACACCTATGCATAGCGTGTAGGGTGCTTTTCGCAGGCAGGGTGGGCAACGGGCGGCTCTCCAGGCGCTTCCGCGGCGGGATGGAGGAGAAAGAGGGAGGAGCCTAACACATGCTCCCGGCAGTGAGCGGGAAAGTGCCGCGTCGCTTCATTCTCCACGCGCGGGCCGGTGGCGCGCCGAGGTGGGCCCGTCCCCGGAGCGAGCCGCGCGTGCAGCCCGCTTTCCTCGGCAGGGAAGGCGTCCTGCTCGCTCCCTCTCCACCAGCTGCGCTTGCACAGAAAGTTCCCACGCCACCGCGCAGAGAAGCCTCCTCGGCTCAGCCCGCCGCAACTCCGGCGCACGCCCATCCCGCTTGCCCGGGGGAAGACCCTCCGACAGGCTTCCCCGCCGTCCCGCGCACCACGCCCCATTTCGCGACCGCTCTTAAGGGAGAGGACAGCTCCTCCGCGGGAGCCAACGCCGCCGTCGCTCGCGCCTCGGGGACGAGGGGCAGGAAGGCTTCTTCCCGGTCCGGCAGGGAGAGAGAAGCGGGTGAGCGGGAAGGCGAGAGAAGGCAGCCGCGTCTGAAGAGCCGGCGACCGGGACACGAGTTCGGGTGCCTCGGCCGCGCTGAGGAGGACGGGGGCGGGCTCTTCCCAGCCCCCAAACTGCCTCGCCCAGCCCTCGGCCCGTGGGGTCGCGACTCGTCCGAAGGGGGCCGGGACTGGGCGGGCCTAGGCAGGGAGGGAGGGCGGGAGGGGGAGCGAGGCGGCGGCTCCGAGCTCAGCCTCTCGCTGTCCCCGCCCGCTCAGCAGCGGCGGCGGCGGCGGCGCGGCGGCAGCAGCAGCTCCAGCTCCTCTCGATCCCGTGTGAGCAGCGGTGGAGGCGGCGCAGGCAGCTCCGGCCAGTGCGCGGCGGCGGCGGCGAGAAGGATGCCCAGCCCTGCGCCTCCGCAGTGCTCCCTCTCCTTCCCGGCATGGTGAGTGTAGGAAGGAGTGCGCGCTAGCCGGGGCAAGGGCATCGGGCGAGGAAGGGGGGCACGCAGGGTAGCCCGCGAGCGCTGCGGTCCGCCAGCTGGCCAGCCAGCCAGCGCCTGCTCTGCTGGAGCCGCCGCCGGTCCTCCTCGCCAGGGACCATGCCAAGGGAATTCCCTGCCCGGCCAGCCCCTGCGCTGGCATTCGAGCCGCCGCCGCGCCGCTGCCCCGCTTTCCGCTGCGAAGCGAGGATGCCCCGGCGGCGGAGCGGCAGCCACACCTGCCCTACTGCCTCTCCCTCGCCCCTTCTGGCACCCGTCGCAGCCTTGGCGAGAGGGCTCCTTCCCGGCCTCTCACTCAGCTGCCGAAGAGCCCCTCTGCTTCCTGCGCGCCGCCTGGGCACTTTACCGCCTCCCTCGAATGGCACCCTTGGTAGGCCCCTCTGAGGGAGGGCAGCCCCGGCGGCCCCCCAACTCACTTCCCTGCCCCGCGTCTCCTGGGCCAGGTGGCTTCTGACGTCTCCCTTCTCTCTCCTAGCCCGACACCGGAGGAGCTGTGAGCAGCCGGACGGGGACCAGCCGACGAGCCCGCCTGCGCCCTGAAGCAGCCCAGAAGTGCCTCTCGCGCCCTGCCGGGATGAAGCGGCTTCTCTAGAGCGGGGGGCTGGCTCTGGGCAGCTACGAGTGACGCCCAGGAGCCCGCGCCCGCGCCCCCGTCGCCCCTCCATGGCGTGGCCCAGCAGGGGTCCTTGATCGGGCTGGGTCGGGGCAGAGCCCCGCTCCGCTCCTGCTCCCGCGACGCACCATGGGGTGGAGGCACCTCCTGTTGCTCCTGCCGCTCGCCCTCTACGCGCTGGCGCTCCTCCTGACCACGCAGGCGGCCGGCCCCCCACGGACACCCAAGGGCAACCGGACCCAGGGGGCGGCAGCGCCGCGGCGACCCTCCAGGCCGGCCAAGGAGCCGCTGAACCAGACGCTCGTCAGCACAGCGCCCTCTTCCGCGCTCGCCGGGAGCCGTGGGCGCAGTCCCGGCGGGGGGCCCGCGCAGGCCGCCTCCAGCGGCAGCGTGGGCAGCTCGAGCCCGGCCTACGAGACGTGCATGGGCTACTACGACGTGAGCGGGCAGTGGGACAAGGAGTTCGAGTGCAACAACAGCCAGAAGGATTTCCGCTACTGTTGTGGCACCTGCTACTACCGCTTCTGCTGCAACAAGCGCTCCGAGAAGCTCAACCAGGACAGGTGCCGCAACCAGGGCCCGCGGCCCAGCACAGACCCCATGACCCCCGCCACCAGCAACGACGGGCCCGGAGAGATTCCCAATGGGTATGACCCAAACGAGGACAACACGAACGCCACCGTCTACATTTCTTGTGGGGCCATTGCCTTTGTCGTCATCGCGGGCATTTTCGCCAAGGTGGCCTATGACAAAGCGCGCCAGCCGCCGCAGGAGATGAACATCCACAGGTGAGAGCAGGCGGTGGGCCCCGCGCCTTCTTCTCCCCCGCAGCCTGGACAAGGAATGTGTGAGCGCCCAAACAGTCACGCCATCCTAAGGCAGGGAGAGAAGCCCCCTCTCCCACAGCAGTACCACCACTTCCCTCACCTTGGGAACTGCTCACCATCCAACTTTGTGGCTTGTTGCTTTCTTCGCCCCCACCCTGCCCGGCAGAGTTTGCTTTCAGGCAAACAGAAGTAGCTCTTTAGGATACTGGAGCTACTCTTTCCACAGCAAAAATCCCTCTCCCCGCCCCACCACATGCCCTTGGAGATGAACATGCATACAAAATTTCATACTTTATGAAAATACCTTTTTCATGACAGGGCATGTTCTTGGGGAGTAGATCTTTATTCCCAGATGTAGGAAAGAGGGTGCTTAAAGAAAACACTTCTTTTCTTTTTACCTTGAATTGGCAATTACTAAAAGAGATTACAGTACAAAGATTTTTCCTCAATCCCAGTAAGAGTGTTCGATTCTGAATTAGTTCTAGTGGGACAAATGAAATCCGATATGTATCGTGAGAGAGAGAAGTAATAGTAGTAGTTATATTTTATAAATCACTTACTCATACTTGCCTTAAGGAGAGTCACAAAGGAAATTTCAAATATCATCACTTGTTACAACACTAGAAAGTAGATTTGTCAACAAAGAAATAAGCTTTTTCTCTGGAAGTGCCCAGGCTGAGAAGGAGAGTCAGAGACTCTTAATGTGCGATTTAACTACCTATATCCTGCTGCAGTTTAAGGAGCACTTTCTAAATGGATAATGTAGGTGTCTCAGTTTTCCATTAATAGTGAGAATTATTTTATAGTCCAATTATCACAATCACCTGACAAGATTGGAAGTCTTACCTCATAGGGTTTGAAAAGAAGATCTTCAAAATTACTCCTCTAATATTCAAAGATCATTAAATACTGTAACTGCACCCCTTTTGTTAAGGTGCTGAAATTAACAGGTCTTTAACCCTATATAATATCTATCCTATTTCTGCCTTTAAAATCTTCCTGTTTCATTTAGTGTTGCATATTGTATTTACCTTTAGGTCATTTAGATTAACTTACATTATCCTAACAACAAAGCACAGAATTACATAATGCCAAGCAGGCCTGAGGTAAGGAAATAGCTGCCCTCATTCAACAATACTTAATGGATTTCACAACCCCCACCCTGCCCCCCAATAAGGCAAATCCTGTTTCCCTATTTCAGGGCCGTATCTTCATACCAGTTTGCAAGAGATTGTAGAAAACAGTGTTCTTTTTTCATTTTAAACAAGGCTTGGCTTTATCTCTTCACTCTTGTTAGAGGTAGCTTTGCAGACAAGCACAAATCATGGACAGTGCTGTCACATCTTGCTCCTGAAGTTTGCACCCATTGAGTTCTCTCCATTTTGTACTAGACAGACACTTTTCCTTTGTAGCGGTCAAGCTGAACAAGAGACTCTGCCTTGTATTTTCCAGGGGCTCTTTCTGTGCTGTCCAAACTTACACAACTTTTGCTGTCTTCTTTAACCTTTCTGCCTGCTTCTGCTTTTTTTCCTTTGTCACCTGTTCATACTTTATCATTCCACAACCCACTGTACCCCTGAATTTTCAGTCTGGCATTTGCATTGTTCCTGATGATACCTCCTTTCTCTCTATGCTCTGTGTGGCTGCTTACTTGGTGCTTTTACTGTGCAAGTGCTAGAGAAAGGGAACCCAAACTGCAACAGGATTCCTCTTAGGAGGCTTCTCTGTCATAAGTCCCATTATGTTTTTCAGAAGGGACCCATAAAGCATTGCTGCTTGGTAGCTGCAGCTTCAAGCAGGCAGCTATTCTGAATGTTTCTGTTGGAAGCATTAATGGGGGTATTCTAAATTAAGACTTGAATAAAGAATGCACACAGTGCTTTTTTGTTTGCTTTAGGGAACTGTAGAAAAAGCCTACTTAGCTTCCATAGGAGTGTTGCATAGTAAAAATCCATTTCCATGGGAAAAGTCAGATGAGTGCCCTTCATTTTACCTCTGAGTGGCCACTACCTTTCTTCAGCTGGCATCTGTCATTGAGGCAGAGCCCCAGTGTGCTGCCGGGGGATTGCACTTTGGAGGTGTGCGCCACTCAAGTGTAAGCACGCAAAGTAATTTATAGGGAGCCGCTTCTTAAAGAACGTGTGACTGAAGCAGCCCTGACAGGGAAGAACAGTTCCCTTTGCATGATGATACTTTATTTAAGTCATCTGTTAAAGACTGTATTTTGCCCAAAGACCTGACAACAGTTTATTAACAGAAAAGCAGGCAAGTTTTACTTAGTGCATGGAATGCGATATCAGCGTTCTCCTTGGTAAAATTCCAAGAGAGGCCATGGAAAGACCTACATTTTTAGCCTTTTCTCTTGATTTGTAAGCGTTAAAAGCACTATCCTACTTATTTTTTCTCATCTCTGCTATCTCAAAGGAAGAGTTGGGCAACTCATCAGTTGATATAAGCAATGCCACATTGATATATTGGATTGGAACCAACTTGACATTCCCTGGCTGCAACTGAAAGCATGAGCTTTCCCTTCCAAAGTGTAATACCAGGATTAAATTTGAATTCAGAGCATTCTCTCTTCTTGATGTGTGCATCATGGCAGATCTTACCTGAGCTACACAGGTTAATGGAGTGCTCCTAGGGGAAAAGGGGGTCACTGAGTTTGTGGGAGCTCAGCATATGAACCTTTGGCATGCAGGACTAGAAGGGGCTGCCTTGCTAAGGCTAGCATTCCCTGGGGAAAGATGGCATTAGGGATGTCAGGAAAATCCATAACAGATTCAGATAAATTGAGACTTTTATGAATCCAACCTGTGGATTCTGCAGCAGTCTAGCTTTTTCCAAGTCATGTGAGTTCTGCAGACTTACGGACCATTTTTTAACTTTGAGGGGGTATTTGCACAAAGTTGAACTTATGCTAATGTACACCAGCACAAGTGTACATTAACACTAACACACACTTGTGCAAGTAGAACAAATTCTCCTGCAACCTTAAAATAATCTGATTCTGTTGATGACTGGAGGACAGAATGAAAAATGTTTGAGATTCCTCAAAACATGGATAGAGTGAATTGAACAAAATCTGTACATTCTAGATGACATATCTGATGAATTGGAAATGTCATACATGTTCCTTCTGTGTATAATCCCAGTGGCAGGGCAGGAGGAGGTCCACAGCTCCCATCAAAATCATAGGGACCTTGTCAGCCCTATCCAAACACCTCATGTCATTTCTGATCCTTTGAGTTTTCTTTTGCTTTATAAAGATGAATTCTCAATTGTGAAATGAATCACCGGTATGTGGATGAAGGGTATGAATAAATGAATGACAGACAGAGGGCTGGGAAAATTTCACTCTGAATGTCTTTGAAAGAACTGATTGACTTTTATTATTAGAACATAGTAACTGACAAAAAATTATACCTTTCAGAGACATTTAACCTAAATTTGATCAATACTGGCACAGCAGTTTAAATATTATGAAGCATTTATCCAGTTTCTAGGGGGTTACACAGTCTATTGTTTACTTGCTTTAAAGACAGTAAAACCGTACTTGTCAGGGGCTCTGTGCTCAGGAGTTTTCCTTTCCCTTAACTTGTCTCCTCTGGAAATTATGGCTGTCATCCTCCTAGATTCTTGCGGACCACTTTGCTGCACCAATGGCCCTCATTCGGGTGTCAGCAAAGGCTGGCCAAATGTGGGGAAAGTTTGGGGCAGGTGAAAATATATTCCACTCTGTTTCAAATGGTTGGGCTGAATGTCTAGGGCCAGGCAATCTTCCAGAAGCTGCAAGTACCTTTTCAGATTTGAGTGTGTGGCAAATAGATTGCTTGCCGCAAAGAACCCAGTGGTTTAACATAGCACTGATTTTGGTTAAATAGCTGATTACATCTCCAGCCCTATTCCCATGGTATCCAGTGGGAACGGAATCAAGCCCTAAACTGTAATGGATTCCATGTAGATTAGAATTTGATCGAGGCATGTAGGTACTGCGACAAGTCTTATTTAGCTCTTTGAGGAAGCAGCATTAGCTCGGTCAGAAGGACTTTCTAGCAGATACAGAGCCTCTCCATTGCTTCATACAGAATTGTTACATCATCTGGGCACAGAGACCCACATTTACCAGGGAGGCTGTGAAAGGAAGCTCACTTCTTTCATTGCTTAGAAAGGAAACTTGCTTCTGTCATTGACTTTCACATAAATCAGCATTCTCCTTGTTCAGTAATATGTTGTCCAGTTACTGGTGTGGTTGACTTTTTGATACCAAAAAGTATAATTAGTCTGTAACAGCCTTCCCCAACCTGGCACTCTCCAGTTGCTTTGAACTTTAATTCTCATTGGTTGTAGCCAGCATGGCCAGTGGTGAGGTTCGGCAGACATTTTCATCCAAGATATATGGAGGGCACCAGGTTGGGGAAGGCTGTATGCACTTTTGTAGGTGGCTATTTGTTGGAGAATTTCCAACATGTCTCTTAGTCTTCAGCGTATTATATAAAATGTAATGTAGCTCAAGTGTCAGATAATTCATGGGGTGGGGTACTGAGTTATCTAGAGTAAACAAAGAACGGTAAAACAAAACTTAGATTTAGTAAGGAAATGAGACAGAACTTCAGACTTGTTCAAAGAAACATAAAGTGGCATTTCTTGAATTCCTCTAAATTTTAAACAGAGAATTGAGATTTTTGTTAACACGAGTAACAAAACATAGCTTCCTACTTTATTCTGTTAGAATGGTTACAAACATAAAGAGAGAAAAATACTGTCATAGCAAGTGACACTACCATTTTCTGTTTTCCTCTAAAATATGTAATTATCACCTATTTAAACCATCTTGGTAAGCTTTACTAAACATATTCCTGATTACACAAGCATCCTGCTTATGGCTTTAGCAAGGTATTTCCTTAGCATCTTTCTGCTTGTTTGGTGGGCATGGCCCACACATCCATGAAGGTCCTCTTATA